AGCAGCAGCAGCAGTGGTAGTGGTGGTAGTAGTGGTAGTAGTGGTAGTAGTAATTACTATTATTATTAGTAGTAGTCGTAGGTATGTATGTATGCATGCATGTCACACATACAGGTAAAATCCTGCGAATGCATGTACACACAGAGTGCTTGCGTTTTCGTATGCCTTTGAAGATACATGAACAAACAAATACAACATTCATTTATCTATGCCCACCGATGTATGTATGTATGTATGTATGTATGTATGCATTTATGCACGCTTGCAGTTTGTCACCAAAACGGTTAGCGCGGTTGCCGTAAATCGCATAGGTATGCCCGGAAGCATATAAGATGCATGCACACTCCCGCACATATGTATATATATATATATATATGTGTTCATTTACAGCTGCGCGGATATGTTTGTATATACTTGTATGTGTATACATATATGAACGGATTTATAAATGTGTATACATATCATCTGCATGTATGCCACTGCACATACATGCTTGCGTATACATGCCTTTGATCAGTTAAGTACCTTCTATGGCCTGCAGACACATCCTGACCTGAAACGCAGTAAGCCCTCATCAGTGCTGCGCCCCACCTTCTGGCTTCTCGGTTGCCCTAGCGTGCAGCACTTTGCGCAACGTCTCCGCCTGCACGAGCACAGCTGCGACTGACCGTATTGACAGAAATAGTGACAGGGGCGATCAGAATCTTATTACGCGCTACAGTAGTACCCGTAGAGCTAGTGTCTAGCGGTCGCAGTAGGTTAGCAGTAGTTAAGATGTCGGTGGTGAGGTCGCTTCTGTTCGGCAAGCAAGTGATTCGAGCCGCTCTAGCTGTTTTGAATGACAAATTGGAGCAGTCGACGAGATAGCTCAAGGTTCTGAACATGATACTCCTGCCAGTGATGATGCAGATGGTCGTGGCGATCGTGTTCATGACGGAGTTGAGGTGATAATGATGATGAACGCTGTTTGCAGCACGCGAACTTGCATCGATCATCCTCGGTCTACAACACAAACGGCACCCGATAGTCACATACCTCCGCATTGCAAACCGCAAGATGTACAGAGACACCGGCACGAGCTGAACGACTGGAAAGCTCTAAACCCTGCATTCCCATGAACGTTTCCCGCAACTTCAACTCTTTGAGATCTCGGGACGTAGTTTTACGCAATCCTTACAAACCTTAAACCCAAAACACCAACCCCTCCACATCCCTCAAACCCTAAACCCTAAACCCCAAACCCCAAAACCCTAAACCCTAAACCCCAAAACCCCAAACCCTAAACCCCAAACCCCTAAACCCTAAACCCAGGGCTGGCAAGGCTTCAAGTCGCCAGTGCCCCGAGCAGCACAGCTGCTAGCCTCTGCTAGGCTGAGGAGGATGTAGAGACGCCCGGCCTTGCAATTGAACTATCGTCACAGGACAACAGCTGAGATGGAAAGACGTGAAAATAAAAAGATAAACATCTAACTATAAATGTACGACGTATACATACATATACACATATACACATATGGCTTATGTATATGCATGTATATGTATGTGTGTATATATATATATACTCTTCTGTATGCACCAACAACTATTATGTGCGAAGCCTGATCGTTTCTTTCTCTTTCCCTCTCTCTCTCTTTCTCCCTCTCTCTGTTCAGTCCTCATTTGTGATTGAAAACCACTTATGATTCCAATTATGCTTGTAGGCATCTCAACCAATTTCATGTTCTATTGTCTTCTCGGTTTTGGTCGCACCACCAAGTGCGCCAGGTACACAATGCTTACGGTAGAGGTTTTTGACGTGGGCGGATATTGATATTGGCGGACAATGGATTCGGTTCACGGAGTCCTGACTCCTCAGAATGTAGAAGCGATAGCTTCGGGACCGAAGCATGCTTCATCATATTCGGAGGCATGTCCTTGATCCTTGTTCGCCCGGCTGCCATCGTGGCACCTACTTAGACTGATTCTGCCATGAAGCAATCTTGCATAACTTTAGACTTGGAGGTTTCCGATGAGGCCTGTGAGGCGCCAGAACGCTACGTCCGCTACGTTTGGTATGCTTGCTGGAATGGGACGCCCACAATTAGTCGGCCACACCCTTAAGCGCTATAAATCCCTGGCCAGAAGAAAGACTGCTTACGTGCGCCATTGCTATCCTACACGAGCTCAAAACCAATGGAAGCATTCATACGCCAATACGAACACTAAAAAAGATCAAGTAGTAGTCGTAGTCGTGGTCCCTAAACCCTAAACCCTTACCCCAAAACCCCAATACCCCAAAACCCTAAACCCTAGTGGAAGGAGTGTTGGTGGCAGTCGTGGTAGCAATCAGCCAGCCTCGAGGGGCGGATTTCGATGGTTTCCCAGCAGCGACCGGAAGCAGGCGAAATTCGCCTTGTAATTATACACATGTATATATATATATACACTATATAATAGTATCTATATATATATATATATATGGGCATATGTATATATATATATACACATTGTATGCGTATATTATATATTGTGTATTATATATAATATGAAACACATATATAGAAAAAATATGTATATATATATATACAAAATATGTTTAATACTATTCAACATTATATGAAGGTCTGAAGGATTGAACAAGTGGGCTTCGGGGCACGGGGCGTACCGTGCAATCGGTCCTTGCCGGTCTCGTTATGGTTCTGTCATCTTTAACCTTGCTTCGGCTGATTGGCTACCTTTGCTAGTCAGTCAGGTCTTGTCATCAAGATATGGTTGAATACTAACGTCTCGACAACACTCAACCTGTCACCATCATACCTACAGCATATGACCGATAATCCACGCTGAGGGCATGTGCAGGCCTTAAGCCCTAAGCCTATTACTCGCGGCTCGCAGTTCGTCGGTCTTCGTATCAACCAAAACCGCGAAACTACCAATGACGATGATCGAGAAGGGTATGCTGTTTGTTACGCACAGCTGCTTCTGATCATCATCAACACCTCACTCAAATCAACCAGCAGGTATCCCAGTCAAAGGCCATAGTCCAAACACCAAACTGCCGAGCCCGAGAAAGGACTCCCATTGAATACGATCTCGGCCTGCCGTTTCCGCAGCTCTTCCTCCTGGCCACTGGTCAAGCCGTTAGTACGTTCTGGGTTTTCTCATTTTCGAGTTTGGCTGTTATGGTCGAGGATTGAGGTCAGGGGCTCCTGATGCTTGAGAGTCTTTAGTCCTTAGTGTTACGGGTCGAAAGGTGGAGTTGAGGGGGCTGACTCCCCGACCTTAAATCCTACAACCCCGAACCCCTAAGCCCTACATGCCAATCTCTGAACCCCAAACCCCTAAAACCCCTACACCGTCAAGTCCCAATCTGGAGGCCTGAATAACCAACAATACTAGTCCTTGAGGTTCCTCATGGGTAGATACCTCGCATCTTGCTCATAGAATATTCCACGAAACCCTATTCCAAATCGTTCAGACCAGGAGCCCTTAAAGGAGCCCTTAGCGGTGCCCGTAAAGGGGCCCTTAAAGGAACCCTTAAATGAGCCCTTAAGGGAACCCTTGAAGGAGCCCGTAAGGGAAACCTTACAAGGAACCCTTAGAGGAGCCCTTAAGGGAACCCTTAAAGGAACCCTCCTTAAAGGAACCCTCCTTAAAGGAGCCCTTAAGGGAACCCTTAAGGGAACCCTTGGAACCCTTAGAGGAGCCCTTAAAAGAACCCTTAAAGGAACCCGGAGCCCTGAAGGGCTCGTCCGCCACACCCTTCCAGGCCTCGGAGGACCCCTGCGACTGCTCTGAAGTCAACTCCGCGCCGTGGTTTGCCAAGTCCTTGGCGTCAGGATTCAAGAAACATATCGTGTATGTATATCATAATATATGATGTTACATTCTATACTATACTATATCATACACGATAATACTATGTTGTATAATACTTTATGTACACACACATATATATATATATACACACATAGAATACACGCTTTCCGATATTTCCCTCAATAAAGTAGGAGTACACTATCCTCAGGCTTCCCTGCTATATATGATAGTACAACAAACCCCAAAAAACCTTGGCTTCATTCAGGCCCCTAAGCTGGGGTTTAGTCTTCTAGGAGGCGCTACAGTAGATTTGTAGGATTGGGGATTTCAGTTTGTTGAAGTTTCTCGTGTGGTGGTTATCTTTTAAGAGGGTTGGGTTTTGGGGTTCTGAAGCTTAGGGCTTGGCGGTTAGGGTTCAGGATGCTAGCATAGGGGTTGGGTTGGAGAAATTCTTGACTATCTGTAAGCAGTTTTGTCATTAATCTTGAAGAGTAAACCAGAAATATGGGAAGGGTGGGCACTTTCGTAGATTCGTGTCTTCACATGGGCGTTTAAAGAATCCTAAAGTATCCAGCCTGCCACCTAGCTTGGGCAAGGCGAAATGAACAGTGCTATGCGTCGTTAACGGCTCGAGCGGCGGCTCTTATTCAACACGCACGCTTGAAGGCTGTGGTGAACCGTGTGAACGGAGCTTCATGATGTTGGGTATCAAACGTTATCACCATGGGTTCATGGTGATGAATCTTGCAGACCAGTCTAGCGACGTGTCTCCAAGGAGGTATCATTTAAGAATAATAGTGATAGTAATAAGAACATGCCTACGACGAAGCAGAATGGAAATCGTAATCATAACCACAATAATGATAATAAAACTACTACTAATAACACTACCAAGAATACTAATACTAACACGAATAATTACTCAAACTATTACTATTAATTACTATTGCCAATACTAACTAACTTAATACTAGTACTCGCACTAATACCAATGCGAATACTAATTACAATAAAAGTCGCAATCACAGAAATAGCAACAATAATAAATAGGTCTGATGCGCGATATCGGTCGCGAAGCTGGGCTCCCAGGCCGCAAGGAAGGCAGCGAAGCGCGTGGGCTCTGGGAGCCCATGGAGCGCACTCTGCAGGTCCTGATCTGAACCGCCGCCAAGTTTCAGTAGGAGTAGGGTTCGGGAGTTTAAGGTTCAGATTTTTGGATTTGGGGTTCAGGGTTTCAGAGTTGAGAATTTAGGCACAGGCCTGCCAGTTTAAGCGCACGAAGAAGGAGAACTGTAGTACACAGGCAGCTGCATGTTGCATCATGCCTTGGTCATGTCTACTCTGTTCTTGAACGATGACGAGTATCACGACAAAACTATCCGCTGCTGCATGCCTCAAAACCCTCGACAGATAGTCGGTAACAAATGACCAGAGATGAGTATCAAATAACGAGAAGGAAAGAATCCTTCGCGGCCTGAGGAGTGTGTTGCTTTGCTGGCATGACTGCGACGTTCGCAACAAGAGACAGTGTCTCTGTCATAAAACAGGGCTTCATGTTCCTTGGTGAATGGTATGGAGGTACTGTAGGTCGACAAGAGATCGATTCGCTATGTCAATACTAGAGCAAGTCTTATGCGTCGAGGAAAAGCCCGAAGTAGTTGGAGCAAAAAAATTCTCCATACGATCACGTCGACAGTACAGCTCCAGGCCTTCAGGACCGCCCCATTGATGCTCCCGGTGGCCCGTTTCACCTGGCGACAGCATTTTTGCAGGATCCTCGAACCTTCTGGTCGAGGAGTCGTTGACATTCGAAGTCAAGAATATATCAATCTGCTTGCACCAGGGCTGACGTAGTTGCTGGTATGCTGTAGGTCCGGAAACTTCTTCCCGATAAAGAGATGTCGAGGAAACGGGGGGGAGCTGATGGCCTCATTAGTTCATCTCAGTCCAACCTCGACACACGCGCCGAATACATCGATTCCGTTGCCATTGCAATTTCTGACTGAACGGATTACGCTAGCAGCCATGGGTTATATCGTGCAACAGTGAATATGCAACCTCTTGCCCAGAAAGCCTGGTCTGTCGGCTTGTCCTTGGCAGTGTCCTGCAAGGTCTTTGCAATCACAGCACTATCACCATCCAAGCCAGCACACTGGATTTTTTGGTCAACGTAGCGAGAAAACGAAGAAGGATGGTGACGATGATGATGCATGCCTGCCGACGCTGATCTAAATCGTTGAAGCATGACGATGATGATGATGATGGTGGTCGCGGTGGTGGTGGTGGTGGTGGTGGTGGTGGTGGTGGTGGTGGTGGTGGTGGTGGTGGTGTGGTGGTGTGGTGGTGGTGGTGGTGGTGGCGGTGGCGGCGATTGCTGTTGATTCTGCTGGTGAAGGTGACGGCGATGGACCTGGTGGCGTTGGTGGGGGATATTGGCGGTGTCGGCGATGAGTGGAGATGATGGTGATTCTGGTGATGATAGTTGCGGTGATCGTGAGGTCATGGACAGGGTGCTGATGTTGTTACATGGTGGACAAGGAGTTAAGCAGCAGGCCATCTTTACTGATCCAATTCTTGACATCAGAAGCATGCTCTTGACAACCTCACATGTGCGAAGCTGACTAACTTAAACTCTCTCTACATATCGTATCATACCCCTCCTACCGGTATGGCGACCGAATGCCGGGGGCCTTGGTCAGCACGCTCCAGATGTCCAGAAGCTGCGCCTCCTCTTCGCTAGTCCAGGCCTTCAGGGGTATCTCGACCAAGGACGGTACTAATCAAATTGCAACCATGATCACCCCCACAATGTTAGTCATTGTCATGTTCATCAACAGCAGCGGAATCTCTGTCATTCTAATCATGCTGAACATGGCCGTAATCTCTACCATCATCATGATTACTGCATCGTCGTTAGATACCATGAGTCCGATACGTTGAGACGAAGAAGCATCATTCTGACGACGACAGCTCGACTACACTAACTACCAATAAGACACTGCCTTGGACCCCAGACTAGAGTATATGATCGATGTTTCCACAACGAAAGAAAGTGAACCAAAACTACGAACAAGACGTGGTAGTGTTGGGAGAAAGGGGTGAGATTTCGACGAAGGCCTAATGCCAGATGCTCGCCGCGGAAAAGGAAAAGGATACACAGGACGCATCACCAAGATGCATTCACAATGGAAAGCAACCACTCCAGGTCAGAGGACGGAGGGGGACCCGCTGCGGAGGACTACTCTTCATCCCGCCTCACGCGCTTGTTCCTTGAGCTCGCCAACACGAGGGATCCACTCCAACATCCTGCAGCTCAACCCGTCGTGAGCTCATGGGGATTGCAGCACCACAGCCACTACATCAGCCGCAGTTATGAGAACGAGCACGTGATCTAAACGGCATGGGTAGGATGCATGTAACGGTTTTGGTGGTGGTATGGGTAGGATGTATGTCGTAACGGTTTTGGTGGGGGTATGTTGCGCTCCTTGCAAGTATTTATAGATTTGGGTGTTACTATGAGGACACTACTACCGAATCTACACTTGCCGCATGCTCTTGCAGCATTATGCGGCAAGCTTGCAAGGCTGTCGTGCTTCAGCAATGCAGGCCAGGAGCATCACGGCATTCTTCAGCCGACGATGGCCCAGCCAATAGCGGTTGAAGTAGTTCCTGGAGCACAACTGACAAGCTCGGGAGTCTTTGGGAGTCCATGTGGCGCGGCAGGTGTTCGATGTCTGAATTCAGACTGGTAGCCGGCTGAGAAGCAAATCTTCCGGGAAGTTCAAGGGCTGCTTCTTGTACAGCTGGAAGTTCTTGGCCTGAGCCCAGGCTCGAAGACGCCGAGAGACTCTACTTCAAACAGACACTGCCAAAGCACCATCACAAGCCACCGAAGCTGCCTCGTAGAAGGGTCGCTCACGATCCAGGCCGACCGCAGCCTGCGACAGAGTCACAGAAATCAAGGCCTCTCCATAAGATAGCAGAAAGATGCAGTATGTCATCAACAAAGCCAATAAGACAAAGAGCTCCGATAGATGTCGTACTACGGACGGGTCATGGAACTACATGTTGGGAAACTTGGAGGATGGGAGGAACCCGCAGAGGTCTCAGAGACTGAAATGCTTCATGGAGGACACTCGGCTGAGCAACGGATCGACGACGAGAGCAAGGTCCAATTTAGATGGGTGGTTGGTCCCTTCTTGGGTCCTTATTATAATACGGCACCTATTATTTAGGGTACCCCAAAAGGGACCATAATTTTGACAACTACCCAGATGACTGTTAAGCCAGCTTCATTGGGACACTGCGACACTCAGTGTATCCGCAGCCCTAGAACCCTGCACGCCCCCCAAAAGCCCACGCCTCCGAAGCAATGGACTCCGCCTAAGATATATTGCGCCTACATGGTCGTACCTATCTAGCAGGTATTTGGGCACTAGAGGATACTATACGTATGTAGTGGGTAATTTGGCCTCAACAGTATATATTGAATATTGGATATTTTGGTCCAACAACACGAACTATTTCCGTACAGTACGTAGACTTTGGGACATGTATTCAGTCTTTGGTGTTTCTACTGGCTTTCGGAGCTCTTCGTCGCTTGCCTCGCGGCCCTGCGTAAGGAGTTCGTAGCTCCAAGACAGCGGCCGTTCTCCGTCTCGCTGGAAGCCTCGCCCAAGCAGGGTGTTTGGGCATTCGGGTGTAGGGTTTCCGGGTTTATGGGTCTAGGGCTTAGGGTTCATGGCTCAAGGTGTAGGGTTTAGGAAGTTGTTGGGGCTCTCGGGCTGAGGGTTCAAGAATCAAGGCCTGAAGGAGCGGGTGCCGTGCCGTGATTCGGGCTTCATGGGCTAAGCGTAGAGTGCTTTGGGCTTCGGGGCTGAGGCTTGGAGTTTTAGGTTGGAGGCGGTTAGAGCTGAAGGCAGGGTGGCTGAGGCTCTTTCACACTCAAAACCAAGTGTATGGTCGAAGGCGGCGCTGGATGTATGCACAGCACGAGAGGGAACAAGAGAAAGAGAGAGCGAGAGAGAAGGAAGAAAGGAAGGAAGAGCGAGAGACACATGGAGACTTGGCTTCTGTTCTGTTTTCGTGCACAAGAGTCTCCCGAGTTATGCACAACTTTCTTTTTGAACACACCGTGCTTTGCAGTTGTGAGCACCTCAGGAAGCCTCGTCGCTCTAGTCTCCGTTGCAGACATGTCGAGAGCGGGGTTCCCTTGAGTTTCCTGAGTTCAACTCCAAACCCCTCAGATCCCAGATCAAAAGCCTGGGCGCTCCCAGAATTCCTGTACATTCGTAGTTACAGGCCCCATTCCACGGAGAGTTCTGCAAGCCTAGGTCTGCGAACTTCTCAATCTCGATCTCCTGTTCCTGTTCCTGCTCCTGCTCCTGTCGGGTGGGATGACTATAGATGTAGTATGTCTGCGTATATTAAGCGTATTGACGTATGGACACAGACTGAGTGCAAGATGCCGTAGCATGACGTGATCTGGCAGTAGGTGACTTGGGCAAGTGAAAGATCAGGATCTGTCACTCTGTACTTACAAGCAGACAGCTCATGGCACTCGGCGGCATGTGAGGAAGGACCGAATGTGGATATAAGCAGAAGGGTTTGCGTTTTGGTATTAGGTATGGATTCTCGCAACTCTCGTGTCGGCTATATTCTTCTATTCTTCGGTATCAGCTTCCCAAGAAACTGAGCTTTGTCCGAATCGAGGGACTCTATTGACGTCAGAAAGCGTCAGAGTCATGATCACACACTTAAGAGGCGATTGCCAAAGATCCCCCGCACTTCATCTTCGGAGGTTGTTGCATACTGGGCGTCACTTCATGAGATAGTCTTGCGCATGAAGGACGAACATGTCAGCCTTGGTTCGGTGTCTATGCCCCGTCCTGCTCTTGCTGCTGCTCCTGGTCTGCAGTGCTGACAGTCACCTGCACGATCTTGGAAATGCGCATGAGCGTGAGCCGTAGCATAAGCATCAGGTCTAGGGTTTAGGTTTTAGGGTTTAGGGTCCAGCCCAAACTGCACAATGACAATGAGCCAGGGAGTAAAGCCTGAAATCACCTGTTGGGCGTGGGCCGTCTGGCTCAGCTCCTAAGCCACTGGCAGCTTGGACAGCAAACCTGAGACTCTTCTCTCCTACCTATAGTCTCCATTGTAGTTCCTTTTTTTGGTTAAACCAATTCTATATTACGGATTTTATAAGGTATCCCCTAAAAAGAACTACAATGGAGACTACAGGTACAATCTACACTACACTTAACGGGCAGACATGACCAAACCTGGGCTCGAAACGGCATGAAAGCCTAAATCCCAAAGGCGACACCCAGAAAACAAAACATCCCAGGATCCTCCCTAAACCGTTTAAACCCTAAACCCCTAAACCCTAAACCCTAAACCCTAAACCCCTAAACCCCTAAACCCTAAACCCTAAACCCTAAACCCTAAACCCTAAACGCCTAAACGCCTAAACGCTAAACCCTAAAACTTTGGACCTGCTCCGACTCCGCGGAGACGCCAACCAGGCGCTGGAGCTCTGCCAGCTGCTCCTTGCCGAGCAGCCTCGTTTGCAGTCTTGAGATTCCTCGTGGCCTATAAGGTTACTATACTTACTATAATAAGGTTACGATACTTCCTATAATAAGGATACTATACTTCCTATAATAAGGATACTATACTTCCTATAATAAGGTTACTATACTTCCTATAATAAGGTTACTACTGGTGGTATAGGGGCCCAAATACATGGAATAGCTTAGAGCTCGGGTTTGGGAATTCGGGGTTCGTTGATGTTCATGTAGGCGAATACTCATAGTTAGTGCTTGTAAGCTTTCTTGACCTTCCACACTGGATTGCCGGATGGAGGCTTTGCAGGGGTAGTTCCTGGTGTGGAGGGCAATTGCTGCAAAGCAGACTGGAAAGCTGTTTTCAAAATCGTCCGCAAGGAGGTTCGCACCCTCAACCCTAAAGCCTGTGCATGATGTTTTTTCACACCATGTCCAAACCCTCCTTATGCTTGGGTCCTTTTCTGGGAGGGGAGCTCCAGCTAAGAAGATCGAGATGACGTATGTTCAACCCCGAAAGAAGCCTGAGTGCCCCGGCCATTCCTTGTCCTTGGCTCGCTCCTCAATGGCTTCTGCCAGGCTCTTGGGCCTTCGAGCGGCTTCTTGGCGGCGCAAGACTAATATAGGAGCCTTCATAATTAGAATAGGGTTTTGGGGCCCATTATGCTATAAGTATACTTAAGGAGCCCCCAAAATAATATAGGCAATTCTTAAGGCCCCTATACTAGTCCCTGACCAACTTTAACCCCTAATACCTAAAAGTCTGTTCTCATGTGGCGACGAGCCGGGGTCTGAACTCCTCATGCAGTCTCTTATGGGTAGTTGTCAATTTTATGGTCCCTTTTGGGGTACCCTGAATAATAGGTGCCGTACTATAATCAGGACCCAAAAAGGGACCATAATTTTGACAACCACCCTTATAGTAAACCCCCAAAAGTTGGAAACCTGATTAAAAGACAAATAGTGCTGGGATTCCCCATACATTGTTCTTAATGTTTGAGGCTGTTGGGTTTCTTCCAACTTTTGGGCTTCTACTGTATGCATGGAGCATCGCATAGCAGCTACAGTGTCAAAAATAGTACGATTGCTATATTATAAGTATACCCTAAACCCTAAACCCTAAGGAAACCCTAAACCCTAAAGAAACCCTAAACCCTAAAGAAACCCTAAACCCTAAAGATACCCTAAACCCTAAAGAAACCCTAAACCCTAAAGATACCCTAAACCCTAGAGAAACCCTAAACCCTAATTACTAATTATACCTATAGTCTCCATTGTAGTTCCTTTTTTTGGGCTAAACCAATTAATTTTATATTAAGGATTCTATAAGGTATCCCCCAAAAAGGAACTACAATGGAGACTATAGGCAGTATTTTATGGTTGTTTTATGAAGGCCTCGGAATGGTCGACGCCAGATCTAAGTCGAGGGGCTCCTGCGGAGTCGTCTCAAGGGAACTTGGGACGGCTTGGGGCTTTTGGGGTTTTGGGTTTTTTGGGTGGGGTTTTGGGGTTTTGAGGGGTTTTGAGGCGTTTTGGGGTTTAGGGTTTGGGTTTGCGGTTTTGGGTCGCTGGAGTTTGAGATTCAGGCTCGGGTTTTGCGATCAGCGCTGCGAAGCCACAATTAAGCTCCGAGGTGCAAGATATTGCAGGAGATTCGATTTCAAATTTCGTATGTTCTAAATCAGCGGTACTGCATGTTCGCTACTGTTCGCAGTTCCGAATAAGGTCCTCTGTAGAAAGGATAGTAGAAATAGGTATGAAACTCTTCGTCGGCTACGATTTCCTCTTGGGAGGTCCTGTTGCATGTGCTGACGTACCTTTTCGCATTAGCTTTAAGTTTTTACAGGGGATGAGGCTTTCGGGCGTGGACCTGCATCAACGTTCCTGTCGATTCATAACCAAACCAATCGAAAAGTGCATGGGAAATGCATGGAAGCTGTCATGACATCCCTGTATGTAGGGTGGTTCAGGATAGCAGGCAACAGGAGCGAGATATTCAAACCAGGCGGAGAATGCTGCAGCAGGTAGCAAGAGGCTTGCTTCTTCCAGCTGCCTCGAACACGTCAAGATGCTTCTTCGCCTGCTCAATCACGGCTTGGCGCTCCCCTCAAACCGTTCGAGATACAGGGGAAGATCACAGTGTAGTACAGGGGTCATCGCGCTTTGCAAGACTCAAGTATCCTGGGAAACCAGGGTTGGCTCATACAGTATAGTATAGTAGATAGTATAGTATATATTGTAAATCTGCCATTCCTGAATTTCTGCGCTCAGCAACGTGAACCCGAGCAGATTCATCCCAGGCGCGGGGCATCTCATAGGATTGCCCAGTGCTTTTGCTCGAACCGCAGCCGATTCAACGGGCCGATGCACATCACGCAAAGCATACAGGTCCGTCGCACGTCACATAGACTGAAACCAATCCAAACAGTGAAACTTCCAAATCCTACCTTAAACTCTGTACTGAAAACCCCCAGCGTCGTCATTGTCCTTGAATATTTCGTACCCCACCAGCCCTCCAAGTGTACCCAGTAGCCCGATTTCTGGTGTGTCTGAACTCTGGCCTCCTCGCCACTGGCCTCCTCCGAGTGCTCTTGCAGCCAGGCATATGCCGGCCTACCAAGTCCAGCAAGAATCACGATGAACACGACAAGAACAAATCGTACAGCACCTGCTCACTCTAATTGTCGTGGTCCCCAGCACGACCAAAATCAGCAATGCATGTAACGACATCGTCATCGCATGTCGTCGCCATTTGTCGCCGTTATCATGATGACTATGCTGATTATGACCATCATCATCGTCATCATCGCCATCATCGTCATGACGATCACACCTACGGTGTAGCTCCTGCTATGGTCACTGCTTTGATCATCATCGTCTTAGCCGGTCTTGTCCCATGTCAGCGCGCAGCAACAGAACAGAAACAACATACAACAAATAACAAACTTCATCCATCGTGTCTTCAGGCATGTTGTTCGATGGCACCCATTCTTTGAGCTTGCGCTTCGTGAAGATCAGTGGGGTCTACTGAGAGACGGCGAGTGTTTCAACAGAGATGTGTGATTTACGGTTTAGGTAGCTGCTTAGGGAAGTTTAGGGTTAGGGCATCCCGTTAAGGATTTAGGGTCAGGTGAGTGGTTCAAGGTGCGTAAGCTTTAGGCTCAGCTTGAGGCCAAGGATGTAAATCAAACCAACCGCCTTTGTGGTACCACAAGCCTTAACGACTGACTCCTCCACAAAAACTATCATTACTCATTCATGAGGTCGAGGGTCTTTCTTAAAAATGGTATTTCTCAGAGCCGAAACTGGGGGGTTCAAGGGTACAGCATAATCTTGCAGAATATTGAATAAAACTGAATAGTTTCGAATGATTTACGGGGAAACCGAATATTTGGGAAGAAAACAAAATAAGAAACCATAAAACTTGGAAAGAGACAGGCAGCTGGTGGTGGTGGTGGTGGTAGTGGTGGTGGTGGTGCTGGTGGTGCTGGTGGTGGGTGGTGGTGGTGGTGGTGTGTCGTGGCGGTGGTGGTTAGTGGTGGTGGTGGTGGTGGTGGAAGCCTTTCAAGCCCTAACCTTAAACTCAAACCCCAAGCCCTTTGCACACAGGCTTGATGGAAGCTCGCCCGGCCAAGTTCCCTCGCAGCACATCCTAAAGCCTAAACCCTCAACCCTAAACCCCCTAAACCCTAAGCCCGCAACCAATGTCTCAAGAATGACGGCTTGGGCTCTCTGAGCCTCGTCGCAAGGAATCCACATATATTCAAAAATCTCGCAATGTCTATTTCAATCATGAAATCAGACCAACTATGATATAGAAATCAAGGTTCCTTCAAACAGTAATTTACTGTCAATCATGAATCGGCCATGTTCCCCCTAAACCCTGAACCTGACGAAAAGCAGTCAGCAGATATCCTGGGCTTGAATACTTGAGGAGGGAAGGCTCCATCGAAGCTCTGCAAAGACTGAGGTGGCCATAAGAGCACCATGATCGCTTGAACGTAGGACAGAATTTGTGAACAACTACAGCTTTCATAATGTCGGGGCCCAGCCTCGCAATCAAAGCTCGAATCTTTTGGGTGTAGGCAAGGTGTAGGACTGAGGACCGCAGCCTAGACTCTAAACCCGACGTTCTTGGATCGCAGTGTGGCAGCACCTTCGCCACAGCGTGTGAGAGTCTTGAGACCTGCTTTGCTGCAGCGGGGCGAGTAATTGCAATTGTAATGCTGAAGTACGTACACTTACACTCTATACTAAAGACGCATGACTGCATGACCACATGCGTATATACTATGTATGACTGTACCTTGTCTATCTGTACAGTTTAGGTCTAGGTAGATATTCCTCGCATCTTATGTACATGGTCTGCTTTTCGTCCATACTTCGCTCCAGTCTCGGGCTACCATGTCGAGCTTCCGACAAGGAACGAACAAAAGGTATACCGGTACTCCTAGTCAGCATGCTGATAATGAAACATCTAGCGATCATGCCACAGTAGCTGGCACTTTAGCATGTTAATGCCGATCATGAAAACGGGTCCACGGAAAACGAATTATCCTGACAACAGTAACAACTTGAGCACGACTGTTACTCGTTTGAAGGCATCTCTTGCATTTGTTGCAAGAAAGCCGAGCTCCTCCCGCCTGAGACGCTTCTATCACAACACGACGCGCTGTGTAAGCATTTTCGCCAGGTGCTCGACTTCACATGAAACAGGATAGTTGCATTAGTGGTGCTAGTAGAATCTCCTGATGGTCTGTGGCTCCCGCCGGCATTGCACTTAAGCTACGGCAACACGAAATAATTTTCGTACCGCACATGCCGTGGAAAGTGTTCCAACTTGCCGAGGGTTGAAACTACTCTGAGGCAACTCCCCTCTACAAAACCTGACAAAACCCCTGTAATCGCTGATACTTCACACAGCCCGTTAAAACTCCACAAACCCATGTAAAAAAAACAAAACAACAACAACAACAACAACCCACCATGTCGCGCCTCAGCATCCCGGCTTGGACACGCTCGGAGCGGAGCCCGTTCAGCACCAGCCAGGCCACCACGCGCACGAGAGGAACCCTGGTGCTGCCGCGCTCTGATTGTGGTCGGGGGTTTAGTTCGGGTTTAGGGGGGGTAGCTTGAGAAATCTTAGGGAAATAATGGCTGTGATCATCATCATGATGGTGATGATGACAATGAGCAGCAATAACGAAAATCACACCACAACGACTGAATACTCACTCTCACATAGGGTTTGGAATTGCGGTGTAGACCGGGGCTGTCGCAAGTATGCAAGCAAGTCAGGGGCTTGCATGTACCACATGGCGATTACCGCTTCAAGGGCGCGCCTCAGCGGCTCAGCATTGAGATTCACACCCACAAGGGACGTGTCGATGAGCTTCGCGACCTCCAGAGTTACGGCACGTTTTGTTTGGTGGAGCTGTCCAGATCTGCAGATAGGCTGATAATCCTCTTGCAAGAATGATACCACCACACAGTGACATCATCGCCACTGTCCGTTGTCGGCAGGATCCTCAACATCATCAGCAACAGCACCATCACGGCGAAAACGAGCACCATGGCCGTGGTGGATGATGATGATGATGATGATGATGATGACGATGATGCTTGTGATGATGATGATGATGGTGGTGATGATGATGATGATGATGATGATTTTCATGATGGTCATGGTGATGGTGATGGTGAGGATGATGGTGATGGTGACATTGCTGTTGTTGATGATGATGTTGTTGAGGATGAGGATGACGATGATGATGAGATGATCATCATCATGACCTTCATGGCTGTGATGACTGCGAGAACCGTCTACATCATAGTCAACACCCTCTTCTTCACAAGCAGCCTTATCGTCTTGCTGTGGTACGAGAACTGGACTAGCTAGTGAATGACAAAGTGCAAGTGAACGACAGAGCATTGGAACCGGTGTCACTGTCATCTTCGTGGTTCTTCCTGGCGAATGTAGTTACAACACGAAGGGTATGGCAAGCGGTGTGACGGGTCTACCAATACACTGCTGCGACGACGATGACGACCATTGCTTGAAGTCCGCTCCTATTCCTTCCTATCCTACCCGCGCTATTCCCGCCACTATATACTATAACGACGAATATGTTCAACGTGTGTTTGTGGATTTGGCTGTTGTTAAATCTAGCATGGCCGTCATTGTCATGATGATGGAGCAGATGTTGATCCTGACTGTGGCCGCGGTCGTGTTTCACGCGCTCTGTGGCATGATTGAAGATCCGCACGACTGAGGCCAACCTCCGGAATGGCATAGACCACGACGCGTTGGCCACGATTGATGCCACGCATGCGGTAGGCACCCTGAGTTCTGCCAGGCTTTGAGTAATGAAGTGGTTGCTTGTCATCAAAGCAAGTCTTTGCAGCGACAAGAAATGGTAGAAATACTAGCTGCACATGTCACCGATCGCAGTTTGATTCCAGGTTCCGGCCTGGCAGTAGTCCCTCCAAACCATGTCCTGCTGAGGGTAGCTGAGCTTGGCTTGGAGATACAACAAAGTTGAACAACGGACTTCCTGGCTCAAAAAAGCGAGCGTCGCCAAGGAGTCCGTTTACTGTTTCTATAGTTATAGGGGCTTTGGCGTTTTCATGCAATGAAGGATGAAACGGTTTTGTAGAGCCATTACGGAGTTCATGCAACGGCCGGAACAATGACGATCAGCCGATGGAACCCATGGCGACAAAATTCAAGCCGAACCCCTCGACTTTTCACCCCTGCCCGATGCACGGACCTTGACAGTCCCTGAACCTTGAGCGCTACATTCTTCAAGGCAAACGCGGTGTCTGCTTTTAGAGCGAGAGTCAGAATAGTAGCAACCTCCAACTCTTAGGCAAGCATACAGGTTTGGGGGACATTATACTGCACTGGGGACTCACGGCGACTATACAGAAATGTGAAGGGACACTATTATACTGCACTAATGACTCATGGTGACTATAAAGAAATAAGTATGAAGGGACACTACTATACTGCACTGGGGACTAACGGTGACTATAAATAAATGTGAAGGGTGAAGGGACACTATGTCTGATTTTATGACAACCGCGGCCTTGCCCAAGGTGAGCACGGCGCGTGCATCCGGCTTGTGCTGGATGTCCATGCCCGTAGTGTGCACCTCAAAGCGGCTGCAAAGCGGAATAGGGTTTAGGGTTTAGGGTTTAGAACTCGATGCTACCGTCACGACCCCTCTCTGAGTCTCATTCTATGGGGTTCTCTCGCCCTCTCTCGCCCGTTTTGCTCTGTACATCCTGAGCAAAGAGCTGGCGAGAACCAAAGCCCGGCCCAGTGCCCACCTGGTCGTAGAAAGCGAAGCGCTCGGACAAGGGAATGCCGCAGTCCTCGAGCTTCATCGTGGATTTCCTCGGATTTCAGATGACCCACTGCAGAAAGGACCATGCCGGCACCCTTGACCTCACGACTACACCAGCGGAGTTTCCCTAATGAATACAGCCGTCACAACCAATGAATCGAGGCGCTTGCAACTGGGGCAGCATGTCACAGTGACATTCATTCTCCCATGATAAGATCGGAAACCTGAAAGAACTTCCGAGAGTCGTCTTGCGAACGTATACCATCTTTGCATCGGCTTCGTTCAGGTACACAACCTCAGACTGCTGGAGAAGGCAAGGAGAAGGCAAAGCTTTCTGGCGAAGCCCGACATCTGGTGCATGACTATAGAGGGATCATGGAGGAATACTACTACTACTACTACTACTACTACTACTACAACTACAACTACAACTACAACTACAACTACAACAACTACTACAACTACAACTACTACTACTACTACTACTACTACTACTACGATTACTATTACTGACTAATTATTGTTCAGACCCCTATCCTACCCAGGCAGAACCATGGCAGTTGCGTTTTTGGAGCTCTGAGCCTCCAGCAGCCGACTTCTTGAAATCTTTGTGGCCGGCCAAGAACTGTGCCACCTCGACTCTGCGACGCTGGTGCTCCGATCATGTTTTACGCGGAAGAGACGTACGGGCTTAGGATCTCCCAGAAGCCTCTTGATACACAGATCAAACCCTGGATAAAAGATGGGAAACCAACAAAAACCCTGAAAGCCTATCATGAGGCAGAGATAGAGACTGCACGCAAGCGAAGCAAAATCGACCTGGGGTGGGGGTGATTCGGCTGAGAAACCAATTCTCCCCTCGATCCCAAACGTGACAGGGTTTAGGGTTTAGGGTTTCGGGTTTCCCAATTTCCAGCAGGATCCCTCAAGCCCTCAAGCACTGCTCTCATTCGAGCGCAGACAAAATTACTGGTCTGCTGCAGACAGGGATAGTGCTGTGCAATTCTTCGGAATAAGGGGGTGTTCAGTGCTAAATATTCTGTACCCTTTAGCAAACCAAGCAGATCCCCAGAATACCTCCCAAAACCCTAAACCTTCGAAAATCAATTCCAGATCCCCAGAAAGACTAACAGTACTAATCACCTTAATAATCAGCATAGGATTTTGGTTATAAGGATCGATCCCCCAAAATGATATAGGTAATTATTGAGGCCTCTACATTAACAGTACTAACCTGTAGTCTCCATTGTAGTTCCTTTTTTGGGTTACTTTATAGAACCCTAAATATAAAATTGGTTCAACCAAAAAAAGGAACTACAATGGAGACTATAGGAAGTGTTCTGGCCTCCAGGTTTGACATGCCCGTGATCAAGGCCCCGGTGTCGATGAGGGCCTCTACGTCCTCCAGGACCGTCCAAGTAGGGCGTGGGGGGTTCTATCAGAGTTCTCCCTAAACCCTAAACCCTAAACCTTCTAACTATAAGGGCATAACAGGATTTAGGGTAGGGTTTGAGGTTTAAAAGGCTGTTTGGGATGGATTGGTAGTGCTTCGAACTGGAGGCCCTGAGGGCTTGAGGGAAGTGATCGTCAGGGAGACATGTAGGGTTTGGATGGTATGAGTTGGGGATGCATCTGGAGGGTTTAGGTTTACCTATATAGTCTCCATTGTAGTTCCTTTTTGGGGATACCTTACAAAATCCTTAATATAGAATTGGTTTAACCAAAAAATGGAACTACAATGGAGACTATAGGTAGGGCTTAAGGTGTTTGGACTTATTTGGGGTGTGGCTTGGGAGCTCGTGGGCGCCCGTGGCGCTTGGGATCTTCAGGTACAGTGCTGGCTCAAACTTCCACTCCCCAGGATTAAAGCTTCAAATAATCCCAAAGCAGAAGGACACACCCTAAATGGGTCTACATAAGGACCGTAACACTTGGCACTAGAATATATATATATATATGATAGAGTTCTGTGGCACATCTAGAGTAGGATACTCCGAAACCCGATTCCAATTGTTCAGGCCCCTGTATTCGTTCTCAAGTTCTTCAGGCTGGGTCTTCCAGTAGAGTCCACGGCCTTCGATGGCTCTAAGAAGCTTTGGTTTCGGGTCGAGGGCGTGAGAATGAAGGTCTAGGATTTGTGGCTCAGTAAATTAGGGCTTCTGTTTGTAAAGCACCTATGCGTACCAGAGTTGCCTTGCTCCGTCTGTTAAGTTATCTGACAAGACACAGCAGGCTGCGGCCTCAGCTACCACGTTCTCCAGCAGAGTGTTCACTTTCCACTGGCCGTCGATCTGGCAAGACCGCAAGAAGCCAACCGATGCCAAGACAGGGGGGGGGGAACTGCCCTTCCAATTCCGCAAATCATCCAACAGTTTTAGCATGCGGACCATTGAATTGACCAGGGGAATGCTCAAGGAGCTGCACAGCGCGACCGCAGGAATCATTACTGTCGCATAGGGCTTGCCAAGCCTGAAAGCTACTACAGCAGGGACGCATGTTGCTACCAAGGGCTCCCTCTTGACATTCTGCCCGCCCTCTTAAACCCCGGCCGCCGAGAAGATTTGCCATGCAACGAGGGCCTCCCCCTTCGGCCTAAACCCGAATCCCTAAACCCTAAACCCTACGGTGTGCCTGCTTGAAGCTCATGACCACCGGATCGGTCAGGGTCGTAAACATCGCAGCGTCATCACCCGGCCTGGGGGGCTTTTGCTGGTAAGATGACCATTTGTCCGCGAATAGAACACGATTAACATGGGGGCCTTACAAACTAGAATAGGGTTTTTGGGGCCCATTATTATACTATAACTATAAGAAGGAACCCCCCGAAATAGTATAGGTAATGTCTAAGGCCCCTATATTACGCAGCTCCACAGCGGAGATGACAGCTGACGTACTTCTGGGAAGATGGATCCGAGTCCCCGACGCGAAGTGGCAGCGGCCAAGGCCCTTGGGAAGCAACTCGGTTGGGGTGCCGCTGAAGCCGACGCGACCTGATAGCGAGTTCACTGGAGGATGATGGTGGGAGTGCTTCCTGTTTTCATTGTCGTAGTGGCGACTAGCATCACTTATACCACAAGGTAGATACGGTAGTTACTGCTACTACGACGACCACTGACTACTCAGTTTGCTCCTAGTCTGCCTCCTCCTCTGCTGCTAGAAGTCTACACGCGCGCATACGGTTTTGGGGCCCATTCCACTATAATGAAAATAAGGTAGGGTTTAGGGTTTAGGGTTTAGGGTTTAGGGTGCCCCTACATTAGAAACCAAAGCAAAACTCTGAGTTCAAGGCGGGCGAAGAGCATCTCGGCCCCAAGCTCCTGTCATCCAGGTCTCCGATCGCATTTAGAGGCCCGTTCTTTAAACTTTAAGCCTTGGTTTCGGTTTAGGTTTAGGCCCCTCCCTGGACCCCAAAAGTATCCTGTCATCCAGGTCTCCGATTGCATTTTGGTTCTTTGAACTTTAAGCCTTGGTTTCGGTCTAGGACCCTACCGAAACCCCCAAAAGTAGGCAAAATAATGGCCCAACACCTAAAGAGGGCTATTATTCTACATACTCTTGGGGTCCAGGTACAACTTATCCCCTCCCTGCTGCAGGAATAGACACGAACTGCCGGGAACTCGAACCCCTGGCACGACTCACAAAAATGACGCCGAACGCTCCAGCGGCTCCACGAGTCTCCTGTCCACTTGCCGAAAGCTTCTTGTTCTGGAACCTGGCACGTCGTCTTTCCCACCAGGAATTTGGGGGTTTCCGAAAATAGGAGACCCTAATATAGTACCCTAAATAATAAGATCCTGATTATAAGGACCCCAAAATAAAGTACGCAAATTTTCGGAAAGTCCCATTTGACTGACCCACAGGAGTGGCAACAGCACCAAAAGCTGGGTTGCGCAGCCAGCCATGATCAAACGTCTTGACTGGGTTGAACGAACAGCATGACGGAATTCTGTACCCCGCCTCATGTACTTTGGGAAGGTCAGCTGCTCCAAGTACCACTGGATCACAGAAGTGGAGCTGCGAAGGAGCTTGAAGACGTCCTTCGGTTGAAAGCTCCGGCTAAAAGCCTCTGAGACTGTGAGCCCGGAATTACAATGAGGACCGACACTGAACAGAAACACCCTGGTCCAAAGAGCCCGGGGTCCCTCATCTGAGTATCATTGGAGCGCTGCAGAAGAGCAAGCGGCGGAACTCCTGCAAGAGGCTGTCAGGGGCTTTTCGGGACCTTTAGGCAGGTTAGTCCGCAAAGGTTTAGAGTCCAAAGCTTCCGGTTTCGGGTTTAGGACGCCAATCAGAGGGCTCCTCGTGAAAGGTCCAGTAACTGGAAGCCCGAAGCTGAAAATAAACTCAGATAAAGTCTGATCAGACACGTTCCCAACTCCCGCAAAAAAGAAGCCTTGTTGACGGGCACCTATACCCAGGAGCTCCAATGTAGTTCCTTTCTGGATCTGTTACGGTTTTTTGGTAAGGAAGTATGGTATACCCTAAACCCTAAACCTTAAACCCTAAACCCTAAAGGAACTACATGGGAGCCCTTGGGTAACAAGATTGTCAAACCCGAAGACTCCCAGCGCTTGAGCTCGAGCCTTTGCCGCTGTCCACCTTCTCAGTGTTCGGCACCGATGGGTCCTGGGACCGGCCAAGAGCGGCCGAAAATGAGTGCAACGTAGGGGCCTTCATAATTAGAATCGGATTTTGGGTGGTACATTATATGGTATATAACTATAAGAAGGCCCCCCTCCCCCCCCCCAAAAAAAATAGTATAGGTACTTTATTAAGGCCCCTACATTTGCTCTGCTAGAACTGCGGCTGCCCTTGAGACGAGCCTTC